CCCCGGCCTCGCCCCCTCAGCGGGCGGTGCCGCGCCCTCCGCCCTCCCCTCACGGCCCGCAGCGCCCTCGCAGTCTGCACGCCGGCACCGAGCAGCCCGACCCAGCTCCCCCGGGGCTCGGACACGACGGGGAAAGGCGGGCCGGCGGGGCCAGCCCCATCGGCGGCGGGGGGGGCGCTCTCTGTCCCTGAGGGGACGCTCCTGGCCCTGCCGTAATCCCTGCGCATCGCCGTACGGGCCGAAAAGGGGGGAGGCTGTAAGGAGCTCACCGGAGTCGACAGGTTGCCACTGGCTGAGGTAAAATGCAGCGGGTGGGAAGGTTACCCCGCGTTGAAAGACAAAAATTGACCCGCGTAACCGTAAGGAACCAGATGAGAACAGCAAACCACCTCTTTTAAGTAATTGTCTATCTTTTGGAGGTCCTCAATTTTACTTTAATGAACTTATCCTATGAATTTGACCAGTCAAGTTTAGTCTCCAGGAGGAAATCTGTTACGTGTTACCTTGCCCCTTCCAGAACAGGCTGCAGTTGCCTTCACTTTGGCTGTGGAGAGGCACAACGTTCACCTTCGCTGATCTAGAAGCTCAATTATCTAAACCAGACTGAAGCAGCACACGCTGCCAAGCTCTCTGAGCAGCTCCACCAACAGAGACCACTGTTTTTCTAAAAATAGGGACTGAGGACGCTGTGCACTGGGGGATCCAAGCACAGGAATGGGAGAATGAGTGTGGTGCTCTCGAATCCAACTTCTTTCCTGCTCCAGAATGAAAACCTTGCTAAAGCATGAAACCATGCGAAGTGACATCCCTTTTGCAGGTACCAGAACTGCAGCCTGCCAAAGGATCAGGCATGTATCTGGTTTCCTTCACCTAGGATGCCTACAAAAGGAAGAGGGACGTAGCTCCACGTTAGTCAAAGGAAATGTAAGTTTTAGTAACACCAGGTACTAATGACTTCACATGCAAATGGCTGTAATCCATTTTTACCAGAGTGCAAATTATGTGCAAGGCATTGGCCTCTTCAGATTTTACAAAGTAGCATAAAATGCCATATAAAGTGAATAGAAGAATATAAAAAAAAAAAGCCCACAAACTCTTACACTCCAACATCTGCGGAGTGAGACAAACATACCCTTCCCAACCCTGGGTCTTATGATCCTGACTCACTGGGTGCCTATCAAACCTCTTGCATTTCTTTACCATGCCATGTGATCTCTTACTACTCAGTGCCTCCTTCGCAGCGCCTGGCAGGAACATTTTGTCACCCTAATGAAAAGCTGGTCAACATCTTCTTCAGTATTACTTTGTTTTCAGTTTTCTGCGTGCCATCCACATGCTAGAATTGCATCACGCCACTTCTCACAAATAAACAAATACACACAGAACTGATCAGGCACAAAAACTTTTTAAAAACTCCCTCTAGATCTGAATTCCTGGGAGATGTTTATTTTTCTTCAGTATTACTTTGTTTTCAGTTTTCTGCGTGCCATCCACATGCTAGAATTATCTTCAGTATTGTTTTCGGTTTTCTGCGTGCCATCCACATGCTAGAATTGCATCATGCCACTTCTCATAAATAAACAAATACACAGAACTGATCAGGCACAAAAACTTTTTAAAAACTCCCTCTAGATCTGAATTCCTGGGAGATGTTTATTTTTTCTGCAAGCAGAGCATCATCTCAGTTAGGAACAGCTTGGTGAAGATACCTGATGTCAGCAGCCAAATTTCCTAAAGAAAGTTCAGCTTCTACACACCATTCAAGTCACTAAAAACTGATGCAGATTTCAGACTTAAGAGTACACGTGTTCTCCCTCCTGTTCACCAAGTCTTCAGAGTAGTCTGTATGGTTAGTTTCAAAAACACAATACTCGTTTTGAAAGAATGGGTATAAATTTGAATTAAATCCTCCCCGGCTACATAATTAAAGGTAACAATCCTGCATGGTGTCTGGTTTCATACATTCTAGCGCGCTAGCTTGCTGACAAAGCTTCCCTGACAAGTCAAGGAGCCCACACATCTTTAGGAGCAAACCCAGGATTTAATTCAAATTTATATCCATTCTTTCAAAACGAGCAGAACCAGCACATCTGACTGAACGTGCTATCAGGGGAGAGGCCACGTTGCTGCAACTCTCTTGCACACAATCCTTTTGCTGCTCACCCTCATCTCATCTCCTGCTTTTAGCCACCTCTTCTGTGATTGTGTTTGCCACAGCCTGTGTGATATTGTGGGGACTGAGCTCTGATACAAGTTCTCCCCAAGACTGTGAACAGGGAAGTCACAGCAGGCCCCTGTTGCACACCAGGCAACAGATGCTGCGTTCCAAGGGTACAGAAACTCTGCCAAACGAGCAGAAAAAACAAGTGAAGAGCTAAGGGAGGAACAAGGCCCCTGTGAAATTCAGGCCAACTTAAATACTGATTGTGCATTTGCCACAGCCTGTGTGATATTGTGGGGACTGAGCTCTGATACAAGTTCTCCCCAAGACTGTAAACGGGGAAGTCACAGCAGGCCCCTGTTGCACACCAGGCAACAGATGCTGCGTTCCAAGGGTACAGAAACTCTGCCAAACGAGCAGAAAAAACAAGTGAAGAGCTAAGGGAGGAACAAGGCCCCTGTGAAATTCAGGCCAACTTAAATACTGATGGAAGTTCTTACAGGGATGGAAGGGGAGAAGGCAGATGGGGCTGGCTGCCCCACACCACACTGCTACTACATATGTTTTAGCCTTTAAATTATTAAACTAGGAACACAATTAGAAACTGTTCAGATATTTCACTGTTGTTCAGAAGTGTACTGGCTTTTCAAATGACAGACTTCCACTCTATTGTCAAACTTAACAAGAAAAAAAAGAGCTATTGGGAATAAGTGCAGTATCATGCAATAAAGAGTTAAAGAAAAGTGAGGAAGCATCGTGAAGATGTAATCTCTCTTGTGAGAGAACAGGTAGCAAGAAGGTGGAAGGACACAATGTAAGCCTTTCTACTCTTTGCCTAGCTTTTATTAAATATTACATACAAACCGCTTTTGTGCTTCCAGTAGAGAACATTTTTCCCTATTTGTCTCCAAAAAACCCAAACAACCCAAAACAGTAGGATTTAAAAAAAAAAAATCCAAAACCAAAAAAAAAACATTAAATAGTGAGTTTTGTGTAGCTTTATTTCACAAAATTTTCTCTCCCCAAAAGGACACAGAGGTAATTTTCTTTTTCTTCTGTATCAATTAAGCACAGCAAATAAGACGTATAATTAAAGATTCTATCTGTGGCCTAAAGGGGATGGCAGAAGAGCTCCAGCAACTCGTGCAGAGGCAGACTGAGGTGTTAGAGCCACAGCTTTTTATCTCTGCCCACCCACAGAGGGTTTGCTGCCCCCACAGCACAGCTAGCAGAAGATACTATGCACTTGTGCTTCAGCTACTGCACTGTAAAGTGTCCTGTTTCAGCATAAATTGCTGATAAAGATGAACTAGAGCTAAGCTACCAGACCTTACAGTGGGATGAATGAAGTACAGGCACATGTTCAATTCTGCTGACGTAGCTATGAGTGAAGAACCAGAAAAGCTGACTCCCTATGACATTCCAGTAGCAGCCACATCAGCTGTGCTGCTGCCTGCCTGGTAATTATCAGTTGTAAAGTTTATGAACCCAAATTAGAGCTTCTGTCACACAGTCCACAAAGGGTTTCCATGTGTAAGTTATTGCAAGTGAAGCCTCTACAGCCAAGCATAGAATAGAATAAAAACAGACACTGTCCAAAAGCTCTTCTTCAAAAGAGAAACAAAAAGCAATTATAGAGAAATCTGCAACTTTGACCGAAACACAGTGATCTCAGAGTACCTCTTGGCCACAAGGACCAACTGGGACAGGAAAGCCCATCATCAAATCACTTACATGAGAAGCAGTTCCAAACAGACACTGGGAACAGAACTATCCCAGCGCTGTGGACTCCCATTAAAGCCTCTTTCAAATAAGGTAAGCAGTGCTTGCACCCTCTGGAAAGCAATGCCATCTTCATAGAAGAGCGCTGGCCTCTCATTAGGAGATGTTACATGTGCAGGGAGAAGAGTTCTGCTGAAACATCTAGTTAGTATCTGCTTAACATGAACAGTCAAGCACTTGTGGAGCACGGCAGGAGTGGGTTCGGTGATGGTTGGGTTTGGTGTGTTTGTTTTTAAATTAAATCATGCAACACATAGAAGGTAAGGGCAAATCCTTTTTCCAGGCATCCACCACATTGCCTGCAATGAGATGTGCCACAACAGCAAGTGTTAGCTCTGTGCAGCTGTTACCTATAGGTCAATGGCATTTAAAATAGAAAAATCTTTCTTGCACAGTGTTATGAATAAAATTGCACTTGATTTTGTTAAAAACTCTTATCACTATAACTTTTCCAAATATTTCCTTTCTGGCATCTTAATTGTCTTCGTTAACAGGAGCTTCTCTCTAAAAACCTCTCATTCATGTTGGACGTGTGACACACAACAGCAGTAAGCCATTGTCTACCAGAAAAGGGGTCTGTTGTTTCTTCAGTGCTTATTTCTATCTGTCCCCACCCTCCCCCCAAAAAGGTCCAGGCAGTTCACCTCTAAGTGTCAATTTTAACATTGAAATATAAACTCCTCAAGCAGACATTAGGAATTTTAGTTTCACAGATTAAATATTTGAAAAGTTACAGAAGGTGCTGGAATAGTACACATTTAAATTGCTTAAAAATCCAAACTTGCAGCAACTTTGTAAATTCAAATTTCCAAAAGGTTTATATTGTCCTTGTGAACTTCTTCCACAGCAAGACGCTCTCATGACAATAAAGCATCAAACTTCCAAGGCTGAGATCAAGAAACAAATCAGCAGGATGCACTTGCTCCACCAAGCAACTTTAAAAGAGGCGTCTTCACTTCTAATAGCAAAAAGCTACTCCTTCATTCCATTTTGGACCTTTCAAAGTGTGTAATCATTCTTTCCTGAAAAACAAAACAC